AAACCTGGAACCTGTTTATCTAGCTATCTGTCTGTCTATCTATCTATTGATCTAGAATGTGCAGTTGAATGTATTTACATGTTTCTAATGTTTAGACATTCTGGAAATATAATAAAAGAAACCAGGGCCCCAATTCTCCATGAAGTTTAAGTATGTGCCTAAAATGTAAGTATATGCCTAAACCATAAGCGTATAATCAGTCCCACTACTTTGATTTACAGTCTTCTTAAATTTAGGTGTGCACCTAAGAACTGCACTACAGTGTGTCTCTTTCTTTCCTGATCTCATGTGGTGGGTGCATATGCATTGGCATTTTCACATGAAAATTAAGGCCAAAGAAAAGGGATTTAGTTGTACCAAATACACATATCAGGATGTTATAAAGCAAAGTAATTTCAGAAACCAGGGAATATTCCAGGGTAATATTTGCAGTTGCAAAAGTAGGCTAACATATCTACACACTTGATTCAACCTTCTTTTTCAATTTTAAAAGTAAGTACCTAGTTTGAAAAATGTTTCTTTGCAAATCTACTTGTAGACATATAAATAAAATATTCTTAAGCTAAAGCAAGCAAGCAGTAGCTGTTTATACTTGTTATGTTTCAAAAATATATAGTATTTTAATATTAATTTTCTAAACAGCATACCAATTTACCAATGTATTTCTGATTTGTGCTTATGTTAATTTGCTGAAATATAGGCTTCATTGAATGGAAATGCATTCTTCCTTTGCAGTGGAGTATCTCTGTTATCAGAGCATGCAGTGGCATGTGCCTGTCGTGAACGAAGCTAGTTGGGCAAAAAGGCAATTAAGTACTTCAGTGCATAAATATTAAACATACAGCCTACAGTACAACTTCCACTGACACATGCATGTACAGTTTAAACATGAATCTATTGAAAACACCTAAAACCCCCAAACATTTTGGAGAATTGCTCTTACTTGGTGCTCCTGAGAAATTGATTTAATGTGCGTGTGTTCCTGAGGGCACTGTTTTAACATGGAAAACTAGTTAAAGCCAGATTTATAGAAGACATAGCAGAGAGACTCTGTCTGAATGAATGAGAAAACAAATGTTCATGGGGAAGAGAGGGGAGGGAAGGGGAGGGGAGGGGAGAAGGAGGGAAGGAAGGGAGGGAGGAAGGAAGGAAGAAAGGAAGGAAGGGAGGAAGGAAAGAAGGAAAGAAGGAAGGAAATCTTCTAGCAGATTCACCAGATCTTCTGGAAGACATCTCCAGATAACTCTTTATGGCTTAGGACTTCATATATTTCTAAGAGGGGCTGCTCAGGAGCTTTGTTCAGCAGGAGAGACTGGCCCATTGCAAGCCCATTGCATCCCAGGACAGTAGGGTTATGCACAGCTCCTTCATGACACAGAACTACTCCCCAAGGGACTGACAGTAAGAAAGCTAGGCTTTTGTGCCAGAATGGTTCCATAATGTGTCAAATCCAGTACAGCAAGCTCATTCTAATGCTTCAGTTACTCTGAACTAGAAGAAAACGCAGAAACATCAAGTGCTAAACGACAATTGCCAAAAGTACTGCCAAGCAAAAGAAAATAGATTTTGGAATCATTTGGAATGAATGTATGCAAAAAATTAGTAGACCTGTACAGTATACCTATATTCTAATGCAAAATGAGAGATATGCAAGCAAGAGCTTGAGTGTATTTTGAAAGGGCAGTTTGTACAATATAGCTAAAGAAGACTTGGAAAAACATATTAGGAATGTGAAGAGCTAAAAAATACTTTTGAGTAAAGATAAGAGGATTGGAACCCAGAAACTTATTTCCTGGACATTTAGGTTTCAGTTGATAATGGTCTACAGTGAAAAAAAACAAAAAGACACA